TGCACTAATCGGCACATAACCACACAAAAACATGTAATTAGAAATAAGATTAAAATCTTTAAAAAAAAAAAAAAAGAAATAGAGGGGCTGGAGAGATGGCTCAGTGGTTAAGAGCACTGACTGCTCTTGTAGAGGACCCAGGTTCGATTCCCAGCACCCACATGGCAGCTATGAACCGTCCTTAACTCCAGTTCTAGGGGAATCCAAAGCCCTCTTCTGACCCCTGTGGCATTGCACGGCATGAGTGCACTCACATACATGCAGGTAATACACTCATACACACAAAATAAAAAATAATAAGTAAAATATTTAAAAAAAAGAAAGATGATGCTGATATAGTTTCAAATGGATAGTCTCTTGGAATTTGAACCTAATGCCACCTATGTAGCAACACCTTGCCAAAATCTTCATTGTCATATGCCCATGAGGTTAATAGGAAGCTGAGCTTAAAGGTGATGGACTAGTTTACATGGCAGAGGGAATTTGAAGGCAGCACAGATTTCAGGTGGCATTAGTATTACTGGCAGCTTTTAGCTAAACTTAGTGTGAGAATTGGTAGCAAAGAGGAGGGAAAAGTTTCCAGAAACTTGGAGTTTGGCCAGAAAAGGAGTGTATTTAATGTTTTGGCCTAGAATGGTATGGTTACTGATTATACAGCTGGTAGCTTTGTGTCTAGCCATAGAAAAGATGTGTAGAGAGACTCTAAGAAATCAGCAGGCAGCAGGCAAATTTTATCTCTAGGATTTTTCAGGGAAGCCTTTAAAGAAGAGCCTTGGGAGCCTTGCTTAGTTTTGACTATCCAAGCCCATTTGGCAAGGCACCAAGAGGGTGATGTGGCTGCAGTTCAAGGGGGTCCAGGGACAGCTTGTGCTTTTGGCAGACCTTGGCAGCCTCATGATGCTAATAGTACAGGTATGCAGGATGCTACAAGGGTCACAGAGGCTTCTATGAGAATTTCTAAGATAGCCTCAGGAAACCAGGCAGTGTAGCAGTGTTGGGGGTCCCCACAAACAGCACCCGATAGTGTGATCCCTAAAGAAACTGAGAGCAAAGCCATACATGCAGTGGAGACCTCAGCCAGATAAAGATGTTAGGATTTCAGTGCAGTTCTCAGATTGGAGGCAGAGGAAAGATTTTTAAACAGATCATTTCTAATTTTTGGAAGAAGCATCCTTTGATAGGGTTTTGGGGGATGATTCTGTAAACATGTGATTCTTAGCTTAAGATAAGAAGGTTAGTAATAGAGTTAGCTCTGCATAGGTTTGGAGAAAGAACATGTACAAAGTATACTGATGAGTTGTACTGATGTTCTAGAGCAGCAGAAGAGATTGATAGGAGTGAAAATAAATATGAGCCAGGTTATGAAGGGCCCTGAATGCTTTATCCCTCTTCTTTCCCATCATTTTTTTCCAGTTAACTAGTGTTATTAATAAATGTTTTAAGCATCAAGTCCTAAACTATTATCCCCTTATTGCATCTCTTTCATGTCAAGAATCCTTATTTATTTATTGCATTTAGCTTTTAAGATTCTTTGCCTATAGGGCTGGAGAGTTGGCTCAGTCTTTAAGAGCATGGTGCTGGTGGCCATCAGCTTTGCTTTGATGAGGACCTCTTGGTGGGTGACATTACAATGCAGGATACATGCAGGTCAGAGAAGTGATACAGCAGAGGAGGAAGTAAGACTGGGAAGAACCAAGCTTGCTCTTCCATAACTTGTTCTTGAGAGAACAGCCAAGGACTCACAAGAACTTTTGTAAGTTCTGCTGAGAGCAGTTCCCCCAGTGACTTAATGACCTCCCTTGGGCCTACCTCTTAGCACTGCCACATTAAGGACCAGGCTTCCAACACATGGACCCTTGGGACAAACCATACTATTTCAGCCCTTGGCCTCCAATGTTCATGTCTATCCTACATTGCAAAAATGCAATCATTGTATCTCCAGAAAAATAGCAAAGATGGAATATGCTAGAATAGAAAATGGAATGTATCACACATAATAATAGATTCTGTTGTTTTATGATACTGTTTTGACTAGATTTGTATGAAGTGGGTTGCAATGTAAAATGTGTTTCTTACTATCAATCAGAGTCAAAAAGGACAAAAATCACTAAAAAAAAAAATAAATGCAATCATGCCAGGCCTGGTGAGCGAGGCCTCTAATCTCAGCTACTCAGAAGACTGAGGCAAGAGAATGACAAATCAGTGCCTGCCTGGGCTGTAAAATGAGCCCAAAGCCAACTTGAGCAACTTATGGAGATCTTGTTCCAGCATCACTCAGAAAACCAAAGTTTCATCTTAGACTCACCATAAACTCTTCCTTGAAAAGTTTTAGACTGAGACTAAAAAGTAAAGAAGCAGCTGGGTGTGGTGGTGCAGGCCTGTAGTTCCAGCACTTGGGAGGCAGTGGCAGGCAGATCTCGCTAAATTCAAGGCCAGCCTGGTCTACATAGTGAGTTCCAGGACAGCTGGGGTTACAGGGAGACCCTGCTTCAAAAAGACAAAAAAAAAAAAAAAAAAAAAAAAAAAAGTAAAGAAGTAAGTTCCATACTTTTAAGATACAGTGGTGGGTGGAACAGAGATAGGATAAACATCTATGTCAGAAGGGAGAAACAGTCAAGTGAATGAGTGGTCAACCAAAGCCAAACATAACCCCATCAGGGTAAACAGTGTATCTTCTACAATTATAATGCCTTGTGCATACCTCTCACACCTTAGTGGAGTGTCAGCAAGGCCTCAGGTAGCTCTGCCCTTAATGTTTTGCTGGTTGTAGGAAACATACCTACTGTTGGGTTGCATAACATACCCAAGGTCTCCTAGGCTGGCATTACACATGCTGCTTACTCTGCCTTTCTGGGTATATGCTCCTGGTTATCCTCTTCTGGAGTCCCTGCTATGATACCACTTCTGTGTTTCAGTAGGCATGGTCAACGGAGAATCTATGCCAGGACCCTCATCCTTCAGCAGACTTCTGCCTGATCCCCCAGGCATTCCTTTGAAATCTAGGTAGTAGCTGCCATGACCTAGTCAGATTTTGAACACCTGCAAAATCAGCTCCTGTCGCCAGAGTGGTCTTTGCTACAGCTGTACTTGAAAATGTGAAAGCAGCGTTGAAACTGGGAATGGGCAGAGACTGGAAGTTTGGAAACTAATATTACATGTAATTCTAGTGGCAACGCAGAAGACGAGAAAGCTAGAGGACCCTATTGGAAACTACAGTAAAAATTACCTTTGTTATACCATCATAAAGAACTTAGATACCGTGTGTCCACATTTAGAGCTTTATGGGAGGCTTAATTCAACTGGAACCTCAAGAATGGTATGGGGCTTTAATGGTTTTACTAAGCCCTTTAATGGGACACTCACAACATGCAGTGTCTTCAGCAACATGGCCTTACCGACCATTCTAGTGTACAACCTACATTAGTGGCAATAGCCTTGGTGAATTTGGGGACCTGTTGGATCTCTCTGTGACCAACAGCTCATAGGGGGGCAACCCCCCCCCCCCCCGGTACTGTAGATTTTCTTAACAGTTGTATAGTTTGGGAGTCTCTGTCTTCATCTTACCCAACCATAAATCTCCCACGAATCTTACAGCTATAGCTGGCCTTTGCTTCTTCAGGTATCTTTCAAATGGGTTTTACATCTGTAAAACACTCAAAGGTTAACATCGTATATTAAATCAATCATAGACAAGGTCTCACATAGCATGGAAAGGTTCTTCAATACTAGTTTTCTGTATTACTTTGTTTTTATTGCTCCTCAAAACAAATAAACAAAACCTGAATCTAGGTAAGTTGTAAATGAGATTAATTAGCTCAGTTCTGGTGAGCATCTTACAGATCTCTAGTGTCACAGATGTGCAGTCTCAGCCACTTGGGAGATTGGGACAAGAGGGACACAATTTGAGGCCACAATTCAAAGTGCTACAAAATGAGTTCAAGGCCAGCCTTGGCAGTTTAGTGAGACCTTGTCTCAACATAAAAAGTGAAAAGAGGCTGGGGTAAGTCTGGAATAGCTGGTGACTAGTAATTTTCTAAAGGCATACCAATTGCTACTGCTATAACAAATACCCATTCCTAGCTTCATGTACTGTTGCTTTTGTGTTATAAAAATGGCCATATGAGTAAACCCTGTCTACAAGTTCAGTATATTCTCTGTTAAAATTCCATTGGCCTTGATCACAAAACTAGAAAAAAAAATCATAAAGGTCATATGGATACACAAAAGACCCTGAATAGCCAGGGCAATCTTGAGCAAACAAAACAAAGAACAAAACAACCCAGTGCTGGAGCTGTTACAATGCCTGGCCTCAAATTATACTATAGAGCTAAAGCAACAAAAACAGCATGGCACAGGCACAAAACAAATGGTTAGATCAGTGTTCTGGGCTTTTCAAGACTGTCTTGCTGTGTAACAGAGGCTGGTTTCAAACTCATTATATACCCTAGGCTGGCTTTGACTTTGCCACAGTTTTCTAGCTCGCTCAGCCTCCCCTTCACTGGGGTTGCTATCATGTTTCATCATGACTGGCTGATTACTCTGTTTTGTATGTTCGTTTCTGAAGGTAAAGTAAGGTAAACTGGATTATTAGACATTATTTTTGGGTAAGAATTTTGCTGGAATAGTTATAGTTGCTGTTGTGGTCTTATATCACCTATACATTGTGTTTTAAGATGCATAATAATCATCATCCCAGATGGTTTGAATATCAACAGCTTTCTTCAGATTACATCCTAGTAAACTTGTGCTTCTCTGTAGTAACAAAAGTAAAATTATTCTTGTTTGGGCCACATAGACTATAGCATCACTGGAGGTGACAAGTAGACAGTCTAGTAAGGGATCAAACTAGTTTGCAAAAGTGACTCTTCTTTGGACCTCCAAACATGGGAGGAGAACTGACCTTTAATGATAGAAAGGGTTGTTTGCTGATTTTATTAAGATTTAAAGATCTGTGAAGTTTCTTCAAAATCTAAAAATGCTTTCCTCTTATCTGCCAACAGGTACAACTGTAACTGCTTTAAGGTTATTTAAGAATCTACCTGTAAGAAAGCAATTTTACTCAACTGCTAAAAAGTGTAAAGAAGAACTAAAAAAGGTACAAGATCTCCTCATAAGCTACGGTATCCTTAAACCTGATACAAGGATTGTTTTTGTACATAATAAGGTGAGCATTAACATATTTTGGGCCTTTTTTGGTAAACAGTATAATGAAGAGAGTGTATATTCTATATGAATCAGTTAGATACATACTATGGAATGAGCATTTGTCATATCTCACAACCCCAGTTCATGTGTGGAAAAATCTGATCACCAATGTGATGATATGAGAAAATTGATCCTTTGGAGGTGATTAGATCATGAATACAAAACCCTCATAGATGGGATTAGTACTCATATAAAAGAAGTCAAGAGAATTGCCTTCCCTCCTACTGCCTGAGAACACAGTGAGAGGGAAGAAAGCTGGCCCTCCCAGGCAGTCTACTGGCACCTTCATCTTGGTTTTCCCAGCACTGTGAGAAATACATTTTTGTTGATTACAAGTGTTGCAATTTATGGTAATTTTTTTGGTACCAGCTCAAAAACAGTATGTCACCTTTAAAAAAAAAACTAGTCCTAGTCTACATTCTTTCAATTTTGTCTTTAATATATAAAGAGCATCTTTAGTTTATCACCTAATATCTATAGGAAATCTAATTGAACTTTTTACTTTGTAATATCTGAGATCTGTGATTTCCAGCACTTCTTCATCCAAGAAGGGCCTGAATGCTTTCCTTAGTCAATGCTATATTGAATCTCATAATATGAAGATGAGTAGGACGGATTTTTTTTTTTTTTGATGAACTCACAATGTACCATCTTTGATCATCTGAATTTTTTTCCCCCCCTTGGGAAAAGTTTTTTTTTTTTTAAATCAATTCTAATCTAGCTTATTCCTTTCCAGTTTTCAAAGGACTTATAAGTAAAGGAATTCATCTTGTTTAATGATTCTTAGAGGAAAGTCAGGTTTATATATTTTCTGTTCATTTTTTCCCTGAAATTCCATATGAGCACTTAGAAATATTTAATAGAAGGAGAGCAGAAATGACACGGTAGTGTGGAAGCTGATGGAGAATAGGGAATTAACGTTAGTGAGGACCTGCATGATGCCAGAGTCTACATAGACGCACAAGTCTTCTGTCATCCTCATGGCAGCATGCGGGCTGGCAGACAATATACTAATTTTGCTGTTGTCCTCTGCGTTGAACTCAGCGAACTTTAACACTTTGCCTACAGTTACACAGCTGATAAAGTGTTGAGATGAGATTGGAAACATAGCATACCTTGGAGTGTAAGTTCTTTACTGTGGTCTTTTCCCATCTTTCTATATTACATGTATGTAATTCCTTTTCAGATTTTAGAATACTTATAGTAACTTAAAGGTAAACAGTTTCATCTTTATGTATATGAAGACCTTAAAGCTCAGAGGGATAAATGGAATTTTTCATATTTTTAGTAAGTTACTGCTGAGGTCATAACCTTGTTTGGATCTAGTTTTCTTTTGAGCCCTTGTCTTTTTACTCATTTGTCCAAAAGATTCTTTATTTTCATGTTGGTAAAATGTTTATGATCAAAATCTCTAGTCATCTTAAAAATAAAAAAATTAAGACGAGTCGGCCACCTGTTGCTGCTGGCATGAAGCTCCACCAAATGATACCTTGAGATTCCTTCCAGCTCTGCTGTGCTGCACAATTCCTCAGGATGTTGATGGATAGAAGCTCATCCTGCTAAAATAACCCTATGACCTCTTGATTCAGAGGACATTTAGTAATTAAAAGTTAAATGTCCTCAAGCTAAGAAAAGACTGAGTCAAAAGAACCATCATAATTGAGAAGGCAAGGCAGATGAGAAAGTTAAGATATGAAGAGAAATAGGAATTTCATGTTCGTAAAAGAAAAACTAGTGCTACTGAAGAGAGAAGTTTAGGATAAAAAGAAAATAAAACAGACCAAAAGGTATTTTCCTTATGTGATGAAAATGAGCATAACAGAAGAACTTGAAGTCTTATGAAGTTATTATTCATCTAGAGTTAGATATATAATATCTAGTAAGTTTTTAAGTTGATTCCATTTTCTTAAGCAATATAAGATTATTGATATAGGCATTTTCTTCTGAGAAAGTAAAGCAGTATTTTTGTAATACACTATGTTTTCTAATTTTAGAGGGTACTATATCTGAAGTTACATTAAGCAAATACAAGTCCCTCTGTGGCTGCAGTAATTTCAGGAGCAATTTGAATCCTAGCAGGCATTTTGAAAATATTATATCCTGAAAGTAATATGTGATTACTAAAAATATAATAGCAAAATTGCCTGCTATCGTAACACAAGATCATAGACTGAATTAGGATAAGTTTTCTACCGTCAACCCTTTTTTCTGTAAACATAAATCACTGTTCTCCTTTTCGGGTTTTTTATTTTTAATAGTTCTATTATTTCTCAAAAAATGGTGGAATATACCATTAAACCTCCCAAAACATGTTGACGTATTATCATAAATCTTGAACACCGTGGTTCTCACTGCTCTCAGCCTTTCTTGTAAATATGCTTACTGTCATCATTCTTTATGTGCATCTGTGGGAAATTTTTGTCTTTGTCCAAAATTTAAACATGTTAATATTAATAAATTTATTTTTCTACATTAGAAGCAAACAATTGTATTGCACATAATATGAGAAGTACTCTTGCTATTTTGATAACTTGGATTAGCTGGTGTTCCTTCTTTTTATGAAGGTTTAACCTGCCAAGACATTCTTTGAATACTGATAATGACAATGTTCTTGCCAGTATGGTTATGTTAGAAAGAGGTATTTTTCTTCTTTCATCACCATGTTCCTTGAAAGCATATTGAATAATGAGACAGCCAAAGGAAAATAATTTACAAGTGGATTCGGTGAGTTTATTTAAAGTAGATATTATTTGGAGAATTGCTAGAGTCACTCCTTCGATGAGCACTTTGGTTTTAAGGTTTAGTTATAATAACTAAATCCCTGTGAAGACCTGCTCTATATGTTTTGACTTATAAAGTAGTTATTTCTCAGAATTAAAAGGGTGTTTTAGTATGATAATATCTAAACCAATTTAGTATTCCTAATTATTTAATATGAACGTAAATAATTTCATAGACCACTAATTTAGAATATGTTGCATTTGTGATTTCTAATGAGGGCTGCTTCATATACTTCTGAATTGCTGATTCTGTGAATGCTTTCTTTAAATATTCTTTATCTCTTTAAAATTTGATTTGAATTAAATTTCATTTTGTTTTATAGCTCTAGGAATAGAACCCAGGGCCCCGCATGTATAGAACAGGGTTCTACCACTGAACTATTTCCCCAGCTCTGAATTTTGATTTAATTAAGGCCTAGTGATATTACAGAAGCTGAACTGGATGTCATTCGCACAAAGTTTTACCTGTTATGAAGGAAGAGAGGCGTGATTTAAAGCATAGGATCCCTCTGACTCTCACCTACCTGTTACATGATAAATAAGTAGTTCCTTATAGTGTATCTGCAACATTCATGCAGTCTTGTTCATTTTGTCTTTCTTTACACCATACTCATAGTATACTCATAGTATTTCGAATGTCCCAGCTTTGTTTCAGATATGCTGTGGTGAGCATCTTTTGCTATAGTTGTACCAGTGTTAAAGGTCTATACTGCCCTGCCCTCTCCATCTCAGCCAGAGCTGAGAGCAGTATACTCAGAATTTATGACTCTTCTTATGAAGAAGTTGTTCTTGTAGTGCCAAGGGGAAAGTTGAGTGTATTTTGTTTTTGTTTCTTTTTTTAAATTAACATAGATACGTGTCGTTTCATGTATATACATGGTAAGGTTTGCTTGGGGTCAATTATAAATCACTCGTTTGTTACTTTTTGCCACTTAGAAATGAATGGTAACTAAATTTCTTACATGATTCTCATGTTTTTGTATGTTTCTATTACTTTTCTCCTGGGTTTTATGAAATCTTACGTAGAAAAGTTGAAAGACACATATATATTAAATTTATAAGTATAATTGTTTTCTGATTTCAGGTACTTGTCTACACTATTAGGATCTCTGGTGCCCTGAATTATTACTTTTTAGAGAACTTACATATACTTCAACTAGCCAGGCGTGGTGGTACACACCTTTAGTCCCAGCACTTGGGAGGCAGAGGCAGGCAGATCTCTG